GCTGAGCATGGGGGGGGGGAGCAGCCCGCCGCCCGCCTCGTGCCCCGCGCAGCAACCATTCACAGCCCGCGTGAGGCTGCCTGTGCCTGCTCCGGACAACCCCGTACGGGCTGCAAGCAGCTGCAGTGCAGGGCGCCGGCCACAGGGTGGGGGAGGGGCTGCTTTCCTCTGCTCCGGGAAGGAGCCTAGGGAAAAGCTGAGCGTGGGGAAAAGCGGCCTGTCCCCCATCCCATGGCTGACACCCCCTGCTGCAGCTGCTTGCGCTCTGCGGGGCTGTCCAGAGCAGGAACAGGCAGCCCCATGCAGGCTGTGAGCGGCTGCAGCATGGGGTGCTGGCCACAAGGTGGGTGTGGGGCTGCTTTACACCCCACCCCCCCATGTTCAGCTTTTCCCTGAGCCACTTTTCCCCGGGCTTCTTCCCTGCCCAGGGTCCTCCCCTGCCCTTCCCCCCCTACCTTCTCCCTTACCTGAGGTTCCAGTGCTGCTGGGGCAGCAACCTGCTCCCAGGCCAGAAGCCCCTGCTGGGGCTTCCGGCTGGGGGGGTGAGACTGGGTGGGCCCTGCTGCTGTGGCAGCTGGCTGGGCTTCCCCTGGGTCCTACTGCAGATAAATATTCATTTTCTAAATTTTTTAGGGGCCCCGTGGGCCGCATTTTGCCCACCCCTGAATTAGGCTATGGTCAGCACCATATAGATGTGACTACAGCAGGGGTGGGCAATTATTTTGGGCAGAGGGCCGCTTACCGAGTTTTGCCAAGCCATCGAAGGCCACATGACAGGCAGCCAGGGCGAATTTATATTAATTTTCTAAAATTTTTAGGGGCCTGCGGGCCAGATAGAATGACCTGGCACGCCACATTTTGCCCACCCCTGGGCTACAGTGCTTCCAACCTGGGAGCTAGCACACACTAAACCACATAGCATGATGGAAGGCAGCACCATCAGGCATAGTAAGCTTCTGATTTAGACATAGCTGTGGTATATGGAATGTACCTATAAGGGGCCAGCAGTGGGATGATCCAGTCTCCCCGCCTGATGCCCTGTGGGTGTGGTTTGTGGTGGTGGGTAGTGGGAGTTCTGCCTGCAAACTGTGAGCATGTGAGTTGCTGAATCCTGTTCCTAATAAAGATAAAGGTGTTTACCACCCCATCGGTCTCTGAATGGTAACTCGAGGACAGAACCCCAAAGGCATGGAGGTCTGGGCCCTGGAACCCAATGGCATAGAGTAAACACTATATGGCGTCAGAAGTGACCTGTCTCTCACTGGAGTCACTGGCAGCCTGATTAAGGGGGTTACAGCAAAAAAATGAAAGTTCAAAGAAAAAAAATGGAGCATTTCAAACCTCCACCAGCATTATCCTTTACTGGAAATTTTGGGGAGAATTGGAGATGTGAACAGAAGCTTCAATTACACCTTGCAGTCACAAAGGCTGAGAAAGAGGCAGATCATTATAAAATTGCAGTCATGCTTTACTGCATTGGGGATAAAGCCTTAGAAATGTACAACAACATGCAAGGAGTGATTGAAGACCCTAATAACAAAACCCTTACAGAGATACTTGCAGCATTCAAAAAACTATTGCGAACCCAGAAAGAATCCTGTCTTTGAAAGGTATCAGTTCTGGCAACTTACATAACAATGAGGCTGCAGGAATAGATGATGGTGTTATAGAGCTCAGAAGCAGAGCACAGCATAGTGAATTTGGACTTGCTGAGGATGTTATGTTGAAGGACAAAACCGTCTTCAGCGTAACTGACTGCAAACTCAAAGAAAGGCTTCTGGAAAATTCCTCCCTTGCCATAGCACAGGCTATGGATATCTGTAGAGCAAAGGTTCTCATAAATGCTCAGGTGCCCGAGTTATGTTTGCAGAAGCAAGCTTGCATACAGCTGAGCAAAAGCAAAGCTGCCAGAGCACTTTGCAAAAACAAAGCAAGCCATCATTGAAGTTTGCTCCACAGGTGGGCAATCAAACTAACAAAGGCAGAGTTTACAGAAGGTGTGGAAGCACACACAAGCCTTGGTCCTGCCCAGATTTTGGAGAAACTTGTTAAAAATTCTCAGGAGTGAACCACTTTGCAAAAATCTGCTAATCCAAGGGAGAGGCTCAAACATCTGCAAAAGGAGTACCCTATGTATGGGAGCATTGTCTCCAAAGCAGCACTGTCAGACCTTTGATAACCAGAATGCCTGGTATAGCACAGTAATGATTGCTGGCTTGCAGTTGCTTTTAAGTTAGATACTGGAGCAGAAGCAAACAGTATTCCAGCAGCTGTAGCAAAGGCTTTGCAAGGCAAAGCACGGAAGACTCCAGCTCATGTTACATTGGTTGCATTTGGTGGTGCATGCATCAAACCACAAGGTGCAATCATTGCACACGGCAAATCTGGTGCTAATAAATCTGATTTAACATTTTATGTAACAGACAGTAGTGACCCACCAATACTGCACCACCTAAGACCTTATCAGACGAGTCCATGAAATGGTTCTGACAGCAGCTGCCACCAAGGCGGACCTTCTCAAACTATACCCAGACGTTTATGAAGGTTTGAGCCAATTTCCTCTTCACTGTACCAAAGGCAAAGACATGTTAGTGGCTGACACTTTCTAGAGTCACAACACTCACTCCTCTTCCTGAACCTGATCTTTTCCGCTCAGAAAAGGTGATTCACGGTCTGACGGAAACAGAGCCACTCAGTGACCAGTTACTCCAGCAGTTACAGGAGCACATGAAGTCTGACAAGGAACTATAAGCCCTTAGAGTGCAGCATCTTAATGGATGGCCGAGCAGGCAAAAACAAGTCAAACCTGAACTAAAGCCCTACTGGCCTCTCAGAACCCAAGTCTGGATTTTTATGGATAATTTGCTTATGGTTGGGCCAAAAAGAATCATTCCAAGTGGTGTGAGGACCAACATGTTGACATTGCTTCACTTGCCCCTTCAAGGCATACAAAGGCC